CTTTGCTTCAGTAACTGGCAAGCCACATGAGATGTCCGCTCTGCCCTCTTTCTCTCTGTGGCCATGTCCAACTTTATAGACACATGTATGGAATTCTTTGGGTCCCACTTCCTTTTGCATATGTTGCCCAATTTCCATGAGTCCGTATGAGTTTAATGTGCTTCGACTTGAAGAAAGCAAATTGCACGTGTCTGTTTCTGCTTGAAAATCAGATAAATATTTCTAGTAGGCAACCTGAAAGAAAGGTTGTGTCTGGTAGTAATCAGATTTATTTTGTGTTTAGAAAGAACGTACATGTCTGCATTATGCTGTGAGAAAGAAGTTTACCTTCCTTGACTATGTGCTCATCATAATCCTCATGCCAGTCATGCTTATTGGATATCTTCTCATGGTAAGTCTTGATGAAAGCCGGAAAGCCACCATACCCTTCCCTTTCTCATGGCAGTATTTCAGTCCAGGAACCTGTGTAGAATGTGGACTGCTGTTTTTAAAGCAAGGACTGATGGAGACGAACAGAAGCAGCAGGGATTTTGCTCTGAATATAGCTAGTGAAGGGACAGCGTTGTATCACTGCATCAGTTTGGCATTTGCAGAGGCCAGATGTTCTTCTTTTTGGAAAAAAACCCAGTATTTAGCCAAAATCTACCTGGTACTGTATGTAGATGAACTGTCTTACTGTGTTAATCTTTCTTTCTCACCAAACAGGTCTCAAAGACTAAACAGAATGAAAACCTGATCAAGATGTTGCTTAGAGCTGGAGTGGATGTTAATGCTACAGACTTTGTGAGTGGATTTATACAAATGCAAATGTGGTTTGTATGCATACAAAATTAATAAAAACAGACTTCAGAATCTTCTAGCAATATAGTCCTGTAGTCTAGCAATATAGTAGGATCAGCAGCTGAACTGACTGTGATGTAGCAGGAGGATTAAATGTTTCCCCTTGACACTTAGGCAACAGTTCTGTAATGTACACAGAAATAATTCTTCACTGATCAACCAGTTCTCCCTTTCTGACCAGTGCCCTCTTAGGAGAACCCAGGCAAGCTGGGTTGAGATACTTATGTATTAAATAGCTGATCCTATAAAGAATCCAGTGATATGAGGGTTTGAGTTTATCACCACTTATGAGTTCCTGGACTGGAGCAGATTTGTGTGCAAAAGTTGTGCCACAGCACTAGACCCTGTGTCTTCTCTTGCTCTTCAGAGTGTGCTGATCTGCCATATGCAGATTTCTGTACCCATTAGCCTACTCGGGTGTGGTAAAGAGCTCCTCTCTTCTAAGGTAGTAAAGGAGACTCCCCAATTTTAGCAGCCCCAAATTCTAAACCACTGAAGTGTGAGCAAATAATATTGCTTGACATAGTTGTTGAGATCAAGAACATGGAATCTTCTGAAATTAGTAAAGAATTATTGCCTTCCCAATAAAGGAAGCAGACCTGTTTTAGCAGCTGCATCCTGGGGGAGGAATGATTTTTTTGTTCCCATTGCTCTTATGAGAATGTATTTTTTTTTACTGTGTAGTGTGTCATGACAAGAAAAGGTATGTGTTTTTTGCATCCAGCTGTTAGAGAGAAACTGATAAGGCTACAGGTAGTCGTACTTGTCTAAGGTCTACTAAGCAATAGAAATAAAATTCATCTGCTTCTGTTTCCCTTCAGTCTGGTAGCACAGCCCTTCACTATGCCTGTGAAATGAAAAACCAGGCAGTCATTCCTCTACTGCTTGAAGCTCATGCAGACACTTCTGTCAAGAATCAGGTAAGAAGGTGAAGTTGACAACTGTGTTTCCTTGTCATGATGGTGAACCAGTATGCTGTAGGCCTTAGCTGGTGTGCAGCAGTTTAAAAAAAGGATGCAGATCTTCCTGGCAGCGGACTTCTTTGCTGTGTGGTGTCAAGCAATGTTTGCTCCATTGCCTTTGTTGGCAAGAGCATCTTTAAAGTCCAAATCCTTCACTGCTCTATTTCTACTAATAAACACTGCCTGCATGTCCACTGGATTGGCAGATCTCATAGCTGTCTTTACGGTACCTCTTCTTAACTCAGAGCTGCCCTACTGTTGTTCCTAAGAAGCAAGGTGCGGGGGAGTGGTAACAACCTTCCTAGGTGCTTTATGTGCCACCAGACACCATTCTTCCGAGAGGGGCTAAGTCAAGCTTCTTCTGTCATCAGAAAAGCCCATATGTTGTCCAAATATATATTGACCTGGGAGTATCTGCATTACTGAGTTGAAATGAATAATGTATCACCCATGTTGCTCTTGAAATAACCTCTTAGCTTAACTCTGCACTGACTTTGGACACTAGCCCCAGGAAACAGTGGAATGGGTGTCAGTACTGGAGGGGATGACTCTGCCTCTGGCTTCAGTGAGTAGGAATATTAGGCCCGGCACATTCCGAAACCTTTGTTTTAGAGGAAGGATGTGACAGTGAAACTTATGCAGGAAAGCGCTGCATCTGGGTGGCAAATTCAGGAAAGCTCTTTATACTTGATCCATGTCTATCATACTGCAATGTATTTCATCTGTGTCTTTCAGAATGGGGAGACTGCCTTAGATATAGCAAGAAGACTGCAGTTCCACAACATTGAAAGCATGCTAAAGAAGACTTCCTAGTCATCAACGACTCCTGAACATGCAGAAAATTACCTCATCAGGCATTCCATCTTGCACAGCAGCAGGAGTCCTGCAGAGGGTTGAGGGCTGTTACTTGGTATAGACTTGGTCTGAATCCACCCATTCCTTGCTGCAGACTTCTGACTACGTTTTGTAAGACTTGTCAGTACCCCCAAGGCCACATGGGCTGAAAGGAGTTCATTTGCTTTTACTAAGCTTGAGTAACACTAAGCCTTACTAAGTGTTCAAAATATTGCCCTTCCCATCTGCTTCCTCAGTTTTATTGCTTGGCTTGTGCAGACTGTGGATTTTGAAAGCTAGCTATAGCATTGCTGGAAGCTTAAACATTTCATATGATGATTGGCAGCCAGTGCAAAAATAAAATATCCTTTAGAGTGTGTATTACTTGTTCCGTAGCAGATACACTTGACAAATGAACAAGATGCCACAGCAGCTTATACAAAATCCGGCACCCTTCCTCTTTGTATTTCTCTTCCTACAACACGAGAGACTCAGAAAATAGATCTCTCAGCCTAGAACTTCCTTCTTCTGACCCCGTTACAAGTTTCACATGCCTTTATTCTCACTATGTTGCTATAGTGGAATGAATGTCTTCTCTTTTTTTTTTTCATATACGAAACCACAGAAAGAAATTCTATGACTTGTTGGAGACCACAAAGAAGGTAAATTCCCAGGTTGCTTTAATGCATTAAGAAATAATAATGAAAATATGTTTGGTGCAGAAGGAAAACAAGTCTCTTAACTACTTTTTCAATATTAACAATATGCTGAAGAAAACAAAAATCAATAAACAAAATGTTGTTGATGGGAACCAGATGTGTCATTCCCAGGGGACTGGGCAGGACAGCACATATTTCAGAGTGGTACACGCAGCAGGGGATGCATATACCATAATAATAATAATAGTAATAATAATAAATTTGTGAACCTTCTCTTGCATAGATAAAGGCAGAAGAAAACCTGTAGTGGTAAGCAATGTATTAATGTGGCCTGGCTCTTTGTGATTTAATAATGCAGCAATAAAGGGGAGTCTCCTTTCAAATGCTGCTGTATCTTGCTGTCTTGGTCTAATGGATCTTTGGGTTTGGCCATTTCCTGTAAGCTGTCCTAAGTTCAGAAGATAGATGCCATGATCAGCACAGTTAATGGCTGCTGGGCAGGGTGCATGGACAAGTTGGTGTATTTTTCCTGTGTTGCAGAACACATATCTATTTTTCAGTGTAAAGGTTCCATTGGATTCTAGCTCCAACTGCATAGGGTCTTGGTTGTGCAATAGGAGCTTGAGGCCCCACCCAGAAACACCCTGGGAAGAAAAGTTACCATGTCTGAGCCTGTAATAATGAACACTTTGGGTGTAACCTGGGGGCAGACACTCTCATTTACCAGATCAACTTCTAGGTGAGTAGTTGCGAGGCACTTGCATGGATAATAAAGGTGCTATGTCTTTGGGATAATGGCTGGAAAGGGAAAAGAGTTGACTGCTTTCCCATGCTGCAGAAATTGTTTGAACAACAGATGGTCAAGACACAGAGTTGTGTAAAAGTCAAAGCTGCTAGCTTGGAGTGCTTGCAACAACCTCATTGCCAGTGTCAAGAATAATTCATGGGCTGGAAGCCGTCCTGCATGGAGTGCAGCTTGCTTGACGGGTCTACATTTCCTCATTCCTCAGCTGCCATCCACGGTCCTTGAAGTTGGAGGGCTTAGAGAGCGTGAACAAACATTTGGCTGATGTGTAGGCATGGAGGGCAGCAGAATACTTCTATGAACTTTTCTGAGGTTGGATTCCTTGATGTTTGGAAGTTATCTGTAACCTGCTCTGTTTCTTGTGTCTGAAGATCTCTTAGTTGTCTTGACACTGTAGGTAAATGTGAGGAGGGGAAAAAAAAGCACCATGTTCTCTGTCAAGTGGGTAAGTGATTTAATTTAAAGAAAGGTCAGTTGTACTTCAACAGAGAAAAGAGAAAATCCCACTTTTGTGTGTTCATGTGAAGACGGATTGGGCATGGGAATGCCTCTGTGGGATACATAAGACATACATGAGAACAACAGAGTTTAGGCTTAGGAAAATCAGTCTTGTAGAAATAAAAGATGTCCACATTAAGTGATCCTTGTAGTCTGTGATCAAGTATATTTAAGATTTCATTCCTATACGTCTCATACTCCACAGGCAGGCAGCAGTCACAGCAACACCACAGAAAACCTCAGACTATGAGGAAAGCAAGAAACAAACAAGGGCAGATAAATACCTATACTGGTATGCATTATGTGTGTCTGTGTGTTTACCTTTTCACCAGGTATCACCCTTATTGCCAGATGGAAATTTTGTAGGTTTTTACTGAGTGAATCCACACTCTGCATGTGGTTTCAAAGGTATTTTGTTATTAGTTCAATGATTTTCCGATACAATTTCTCTGTTGCATCAAGGCCCCAGATGAAATCAAGATGTCCCCAAGCAGGAAAATTCTCATGGTAAATGAGATTAGTAATCCGAGGAAGCAGCTTTGCCATGTCTTTTGGATCTGCAAATGTGTCATGTCCACCGCTCCAAACAGCAATTGGTGTGCTTATCTTCTCTATCTTGTACACAGGAGGAGTAGACTGTAGGGAGAGGAGGAGACCTGAGTGAATGCTGTTGTATCAGAAGTTGTGTTTAGAGAAAGGGTCGTATGCAAGCACCTCTCTT